GAACCCTTACCTTAGCACTTCTGTTGATCTTGGAACATCAAGCCCTCATCTATCATGCTTTGAATATTCTTGAAAATTATATGCATATTAAAGGCTCTAAAATGTTCTACTGTAAACTGTTTCAGTTATCTATTACTGCATAATGAACAACCCTAAAATTCAGTGACTTAAAAGAATGTTCTGTTCTTTACTGTGATTTTATGAGTCAGGAAATTAGGCTCAATTTGTCCTCATTGAGTTTGTGACTGGGAAGGGAAGTCTAACATGACTTTACTCTCATGGCTAGCACCTTAGTGTTTCTCCAAGTGACCTCTCTACACGGCTAACATGAATTGCTCACAATATGGTGATTACAGAGTAGTCATACTTCTTATATAGCAGCTGACTTCCAGGAGGAAAGAAGCTAAAACTGTCATTTTGGAAATCCCAAAGCATCACTTCTTTCACATTATAATGATCCAAGTAAGTCACAAGACTAAACTAGACTCAAGGCATGGAGAAGGATACAGACTTAACGTGAGGAATAGCAGGTGAACATAGGGAGAGGAAATTGTTGGCAGTCATATTTGGTGTAAGGCAGATATTTTTCTAAAAATATTATTAGAAACATAGAAATTCTTTGCCCATAACTCTCATCAATATCTTTAAAATCCCTTATTATGTGCTATTTTAGTCTCCTTGTTTAAAGGCAATACAGAGAAGCCTAACTAAAGACAAAAGTGTTAGAAAGTTATCATAGACCTCTAGGTCTTAAGGATCCATGGTTCCATGAATGGTGGCACATGGTAGCGAAATGAGGTGCTCCTGAGAACTAGGAAGAAAAAATGTAGTTGTTCCTTATATAGCAGGTGTGAAGTCTCAGCACCCTCCATCTGATTCTGTTTACCAAATGACTGTCTTATTACTAAATCCACAAAGTGCATTTTATGACTTGCTCCCCAATATCCATTCCATCTGTCTTCCAATGAGAAAATTTGGAAGAGTTTGGCGAGTTGGCTTCAACTCCATACGAGACTAGTTTGTTCAAGGGTAATCCCATTTTCCTTGCCAACAATTGGTCCAGGAATGGACCTGAGACCAAGTTTTGGCCAATAAGATGCAATAAATATGTTGGTAAAATTTTATTGGAATCATAGAAACACAAATCCTTTTTCCTTTTGGACACTCTTCAAATCTGACCAGTTGTCACACCTAGCTCCCAAATCTAAGATCTCTGACTAACAATGAATATTCTCCAACCATCAGGATGTAGTTCCTGCAGATTCAGCAATAGATGGCTATAAATGAAGTAACCTATCTTGAGCACATATAATATACAATGGCCAATTAAGCATAGTTTATAGCAGATCAATTCATAATAGCTAAACTATAGAACCAACATAGGTATCCTTCAATAGATGAATGGATAAAGAAAATGTGGAATGCATACTCAATGGAATATTACTCAGCTTCAAAGAAGAATGAAGTTATGGTATTTGCTGGTAAATGGATGGAGTTGGATAATACTGTGCTAAGCAAAATAAGTAATCCCAAAAAAACCAAAGGCCAAATGTTTTCTCTAATATGGGGTTGGGGGGCTCTAGAGAAGAATAGAGTTACCTTGGATTAGGTAGAGGGAAGTGAAGGGAAGACAGGGAAGAGGATGAGGGGATAGGAAGGAAAGCAGAATGAAAGACATTATTGCTTTATGTATATATATGAATGCATGACCAGTGTGATTCTACAACATGAACACTCAGAAAAATGACAAATTCTATCCCATCTATGCATAATATATCAAAGTGCATAAATGCATTCTATGTGTAACTAATTAAATAAAAAGTATTTAAAATTTAAAAGAACTGCTAGTATAAACTTCCTTTCAGAAAATGAAAAGAATGTAAAATATCACCAATGGTCATCAGTCCATGAGTATGATATATTTCTGTACAGGTTAATAATATTTCTTATTCTGGTAGTGGAGAGAGTTCCAGAATCAACCAAAGTCAGAGTTCTCTCTGAAAGGAACTACAGCATCTTCTAAAGGCAATGTCTAAGATGAACATTCAAAATTGTATTATTCTTGTAAGACCTTACTCTAAGATGCAAGAAGTAGTCAAGAGCCTGAAATTTTCAACCAAATCCTTAACGTTACAGTTTGGGCAGATACATCATTTAGTTGAAGAATGACAAATGTTTCACTCTGACATGACAATGATAGAGAACCCAAACATCCCTCTGACTTATCTGGTCCACACAATCAATTCCATATCTTAAGATGTGTATCTTGATGTACCCTACTCTTAGTACCAAACTTGGTAACAGGCTTTTTTTAGTTCCATAAAATTGAAAACCCAACTCAAACTCTCTTCAACAATAGTAAAATGTTAACCAAAACTAAAGTCTTGCTATAGAATAGATTTTAGGGCTGGTAGATTGAAGATATCATAAAGGACACAGATTACTTCTATCTCTACATTTTGACACCAATATTGTCAATTTCATCTTAAAGCTGATTGCCCTCCTGGGCATGACTATAGGCTGCCCTTGTTGCAACTAGGACTAATGGTTACTTATTCATATCCAAAGAAAGCTGATTTCCTTTAGCCTAGTTCAACAAAATCTGCATTTCCAAAAGCCCTTAATTCTTTTCTTGTTTCTCATTGGACCAAATTGATTTGGTCCAGACTATCTGCAAACTAAGGTGGACTAGCTAAAATTATTAGATGAGACTAAAAAGGGCTTTGAAGTTTGGGATTGACCAGCTCCTACTGAGGCACATGTGCTATGTGTAGAAAGGTATGAAATGTAAACAAAATAGGCAATTTAGTTAGGAATAAAAAAGGAGGGGAAGGATGCCAGGATGACAATCAACATTTCCCACTACACTGAATTCAGATTCTTAGAGGTAGGTACCTTGGGCAGAGCATAGGAACGTTTTGCTTACTAGAGAGGAATATTTTCCCCTGGAATATAACCCAATGCCATATCATTTGTACATCGGTCTTTTGTGATTTCCCTACTATGAATCAACCCTTTTGCATTACAGTATGACTGACAAAGCTAAAGACCAATCCCACTTATTGGATCAAGTTACATTCACTCAGGTTAGGACACTACTCATCATGATGCCATTTTTCATTCATGACACCAAGAACTGTGTTAAGTGGAATAAGAAGTAAAGGAAAATGCAGCACTGTGATTATGTGTATGAATTAACAAAGTACACCCACAAATGTGTACCTGCGAGATGTGAGAGAGGGAGAGAAAGAGAGAGCTTTACAAAGCCAACACTGATAACAATTTCTAATGTATTTTGCTCAGTCAGCAACCGCTTCTTTGTATCTAACTTAAATTCTTCATTCTCCACTTTAAACTTAGTTCCTCTGCTATTTCTTCAAAACCACTGTCATTCAGGATACACATTGTCATCTGTCTCACATACATACAAAAGGACCAACTGAAAAGGATTTAGCCCTATGTCAACAAAAGGGCTCTCAAAAATCCCTTCTATGCCTAACAGCCTATGAAACTGTTATTTTGATTATGAGGAGAAGTAAACCTGTAATATCCTAGAGTATAAATGTCAAACATTGAGCCTGTAGGCCACCTCCAATCTGCAGAAGGTCATCATTCAATGTCACAATCTCATTGAAAACAACTTTACTTCACTTGGTATATTTTTATGAAATATTAGTTCAGCCCACCAGGATTTTCATGAGGGGAAATTGGTCCATGAGTAAATTTGAGTTGACACTCTTGTCCAGAGGAAATGAAATGGCATTTTTTGAGAATGTAAGATTAATGCACTAAATGATTTTTATTTACCCCAAACTAAGCCCTTAGAAATTCCAGTAAAATTGAGACATCAAATGTCATAAATTACAATACTCAGCTCAGTGTAGAGTGTGCACACATGTATGTTTGCACATGCAAGCACTTCTTAAACTATAGAATCCTCCAAAAAAAAAAACACATTTACACATTGAACAACATCATATTCTGGTCCCAAATTTCTCAATCTGTTTTTGATCCAGTGTTACTCATAGCTTTTTCTAAGACTTTTACGTAAAGGCAAGCTTTTTAAAGAGCCAATTCAAAATGAAGATTGATTTTTGCATGATGTCACCAAAAGGTGATGTCACTTTCTTTTCTCTACCTCATCTTAAGAACAATGAGTGGATCCTGATGTTGAATTTTATTTCACACCTAATGCACAGACAGTCAACCTAAAGTTACCAGTTTATGGCTTCACCAGAACCCTGAATTAAGCAAAACTTTCATGGACAGGCCCTTTAACTCCCATGGAAGTTATTATTATGCTTTTCAGCTTTCTTTTAGACAAGATAATACTTATTATTTTTAACATTTGTGCTAAAATGTAGCCTTGTACTTTATTTAAAGACATCTATTCAAATTTTCCAGGTAAAAATCCAGAGGAAATTGTTTTTCTTCATGGAGAAAAATTCCAATCCTACAAAACTCTTTAATTATAAGAAGTATGATTTTCATTTAGTCACCTTTTCTGCTGCTGTGACCAAAGATCTGACAAGAACAATTTTAGAGGAGTAAAAGTACTTTAGGGATCATGGTTTCAGAGATTTTCAGAGATCTCAGTCCATAGACAGCTGGCTTCATTCCTCAGTCTCGAGGTGAGGCAGAACATCATGGTGGAAGAAAGCAGGTCAGGGCATGGCCACCAAGGAGTGGGGGAGAGATAGAGAGAGAGGGAGGGGGAGGAAAGAGGGAGAGGGAGGGAGGGGGAGAGAGAGATGCTCAATAAGGACAAAATATAAACTCCAATAGCATGCCCCCAGGGACCCACCTCATCCAGCCATAATATACCTGCCTACAGTTATGACCCAGTTATTCCCTTAGAGTATTAATACACTGATTGGGTTAATTATCTCATAACCCAATCATTTCACCTGTAAACCTTGCATTGTCTCACATATGAGCTTTTGGGAGACACTTCACAACTAAACCATGATAGTCTTATTTTATCTCATTTTATTTTTTACACACATCATCATATTATAATTTAACATCATATTTCAGAATCAAGTTCCTTTATATTCCACCCTTTGTGGTATCTATTTTTATCAATGTACATGCCTGAGTTTTCCAATAGAATACCATCAAATCAATTGCGATTCAAATCTCTAGGGGCCAGTGTTTCAAGAATAATACATTTACATGCCAATGTTTCAAGAAAAGCAGGTGGAGATGGCAAAAACAGGAAAGAAAAGGACTTGGGGCAAGAAAGAGGAAAGACTTTGAAAATGTTCCAGGGTAATTATATTAACTAATTTTCCAATATAACAATAGAAATAAATGAATACCTGAAAAGCTCATATTTTGAATTACATACGTTTATTTCACCTGAAATGTTTCCCAAGTAATGAATTTGATCCAACCATGTTCAATACACTATTAAAAAACATAGCAAAGACACATGTAAGAAGTAATTATGGCACACATGATCAAAGAAGGCAATCTTGAATTCCGCTAGACATTGCCCCAGCATGCCCCCTGGTTGAGACTTTGGATGGCACCAGCACCTCTCTTAGAAGGATTCTCACAGAACTCATAATGTCAACTTAAAGAAAAGACAAGCCTGGAAGCCATGACCTGAAGGGTGGAGAACACAAATGAAAGTTAGAAGGAACCTCAAGTGTGATGCATATTTGTCTTTAGCAAGGCACAGAAGTGTGGGTTAAGTGGAGGGTTAAAGCCCTTAGAGAAGTGAAGTACTGAAGAAATTCTGCACTTAAATTTAATCATACTAAATAGGCTGATGATCAACTTCACTAGAGCCTTGTTAATTGAGAAAGCCCCAGTTAGGGCTTCATTTATTACAACTGCATGAAGACAATTTTGGCTCCCTGTGCCTATCTCACCCCAAACTGTCACACTTGCCTCTGAGGGTAGAAAAGAACCAGAGATTTCCTGAAATAGATCAAAATAATGAAGAAATTTTCCTAGAAAAAAATTATCCCTACCCATAACTTAAAGTGAGTCCTGGAAGTATGGATGAGAAGCATTTCCCCTTCTCTCACCAAAACCCTATATTAATTACCCACTGCTGAAATAAAGCTATGTAAGAAATAACTCCAAAATCAGTGGCTTACCACAGCAATCATCTATTTCTGACTTGCAGATCTGTGGATTGTGCAATTATGCTGGGATTGGTTGGTCTTGGGTCCAGGAATGTTCCATATGTCTCCACCCTACAGGATCAGTGGTTACATAGACCATGTTTTTCTAAGGGGGATGGTAGAAGCCCAAGAGGAGCCAACAGAAACATGAATACCTCTTAAGGTCTTAGCTCAGAACTGGTACTCTGAAACTTCTGCTCACATTTCCTTAGTCAAAGCAAATTACATTGTAAAGCTCATTATTAAGGGAATGATGAATTATACTCTACTCATAGTGGAATGTGGTAAGAGTGAAGAGGGAAGGAAGAATTTTAAGCAAATATAATCTACCAAAATTGAGCATTCCCTCCCAGAGGGTCCAATATAAACCTTCTGATCACTTTTATGCAAATTTTTAAAATATAACCCAAATGTCCATTAACTGATGAATAGAGAAACATAGTATAGTATATACAACCAATGGAATATTGTAAGGAGCATCTGCCATAGACATGCTGAGACTCACTAAGTTGCTGGCCATAAGAAACAGCAGCCATTGAACTGCTTACTCATGTCTACTTGCAATTGATAAAGAACTGTAAAGGGCACTAGCCATAGGCATGCTTAGTAGTGATTGGTTACAATTGATAGGGAGCATAGCTCCATGGACATGTGCAAAGAACATGCCCAATTGCAATTACATCATCTCACTGGACATAACCAATGAATATTGACTTTTACTAGGTGTAACCAATCATCAACAGACACCACCAACTTGGAACTATATTTAAATTGCTGGTCTACACAGTGAAAAATTTTTCTCCAAGGACATTGGTGAGACTGGCCACTTTGCTGTCCGTCCCTCAGCTAGCCATCATCTGGAGAGAACTACCAGACAAGGACAACATCTGCTCTTTGGCTAAAAGAAGTCACGTGGCATCAGAGGTATTTGGGGGCTTATAGTTGCCCTAGGATTGTGTAATTTGCTTATAGTGTTTAATTAGTATGCACTGAATGCTAGTTGGGGTGCTCCAGCACATCCAACACTTTTTGCATTGTTTATATTTGATGATTGATGTGATCAAATATATGCTTTCATTTAAAGACAATCCACCTCCAAATAATTATTAATAGCACTGCTCGTGACAAATATGATTCAACCTTAAAAACGAATGGTATTCTGCACATGCTATAACATGACTTAACCTTGAAAATAGTATGCTAAGTGAAAAAAGAAAACACCAGAAGGACAGATATTGTGTGATTCTACTTACATAAGGTACTTAACACAGGCTGATTCAAAGAGACAGAAAGTAGAATGGTAGTTGTCAGGGGCTGAGTGGAGAGGGGCCCGGGGAGTTATTGTTCAATGCAAACAGTTTCTGTTTGAGAAGATGAAAAAATTCTGAAGATAGAAGGTGGTGATGGTTGCATAACAATGTGAATGTACTTACTGCTACCGAATTGTAAACTTAAAATGGTTGAAGTGGTAAGTTTTATGTGTGTCAGTCAGCTTTTTTGTTGCTGCTACTAAAAGACCTGACAATTCAGAGAAGAAAAAGTTTATTTTGGATTATAGTTTCAGAATTTTGGTCTATGGGCAGCTGACTTCGTTGCCCTGGGCCAGAGGTGAGGCAGAACATCATGGTGGAAGGGTATGGTAGAGGAAAGTTGCTTAGTCATGATAGCCAAGAAGAACAGAGAGAGCTCCGTTTACCAATGACAAAATATAAACCTCAAAGTCACGCCTCCAGTGACCTATTTCCTCTGGTCATGCCTTATCTGTCTACAGTTATCACCCATTAATCTATTCAAATTATTAATCCATCAAGTGAATTAATCTACTGATTAAGTTACAGCTCTCATAGTCAAATCATATCACCTCTAAACATGCATGCATTTTGTCACATGTGAGCTTTCAGAGGACACCTCATATCCAAACCATAATACTACCTTATGTATATTTTACCATCAGTTAAAAAAGAGTTAACTTATGTGAGGCAGGAAACTTATGGATTCACACATGGATTAGTCCATTTTATAATCACAACCATCTTAGGGTAGGATTCATTCTCCATTCAGGAAGAGATCAGATGCTAAAGTGACCAATTGAAGGAGTAACCAAAGCACAGAGAGAAGCCCACATCTTTTTCTTTGCATCTGAGTTTAAAAAGGTCAGAGATTGCAATGACTTTGAATTAAGGTGTACCTTAGTACTTCTCAGCAGATAATTACATGTATATGACATTTAGTCCTGCCTTTGTAGACTAATAGACACTAGGTTGACCTACACAAATATAGGATATTAGTATTTTAAGTCTGATTATAAATGCACTATGCACCTAGAGCCCTTAAAAACAGAGATTTTACCTGAGGTATTTGATCAAAAAGCTTCTAGTTTATTAATTCTCAGTATTATTTTTCCAGTCACCAGGAAACTGGCAGTCCCTTAAGAAAGGAAGACTGCTGTTGATTTTTTCCTCTTCCTTTAGTACTGGAGTTATTAGCAGTATTCTGTACTACCTTTTACATCACAATCCTACTGTGTTACCAAAAAAGAAAAAAAAATCTCCAATATGGTAACAATGGCAGCACTTGATGTTCTTGGAGCTGGCTCTGTAGATAATTCTTTGCTTAATTCTAAGAAACTATAATTCAGGGCAGAAATTGTAACTCTACACTTCACAATAATTTTCTACACTTCCTTGCTACAGCTGGTACAAAGGAAATGAAAGAAATTCTCTTGGGAAGAGGAAGAGTTAAGAAAGGAGGGAATGATTGGCTGGATTTCCAGAGGAACTTGTACCTCATTCAGCAATCACTTGAGATGGTTCTGCTACCAGACACAGGGCAATCTTTCTATTATCTGTCCTTTTCATAACAGACACCGATGAAACATCGAGCTAATTCCTAAATACACTGTACTGTGGGTTTGCAAATTGAATGAGCGCTTCATTATTCAGTTATACCAAGCAATATGCCAACAGATATCTGCGTAACACAATAGCCAGTGGACATAATGAATGGCTTTTTGCTGCTATCTTTTGAATGCTTGCAATAGATTTTATTTGGTGCACCATATAAAATAATGCCTTTATTCATTACAGAGAGAAATTCCAGGACTGATATTTTGATGTTCTGTCAAATGCTCTGTGCTTTCTTTACCTTCTATTTCAATATTGCTTTTCTACTCAAATTGAACATGAAACCTCCGGAGATTCTGGGTCTTACTCTCCATAATAACAATCAACATAGTCAAGATACTTCTATAACTGTGTTCATCATTATACCTTAATTGTAAACATCACGATGGCTATGATAAAAGTTGAACAGAGGAGGATAGATAAAAATATTTACTGACTGTTTACTGGGTAGTATTCTAAGTGCTTTATAGCTATTAAATCACTAAATCCTCACAATACCATTTGGGGTAGGTATTACTCTTATTCTCACTGTACAACCCAGGGTATAAACAAAGCCAGTTCTTACCTAAGACCATGGAGCTACTGGAATTCAAATCAAAGCAATCAGGCTACAGGGCCCTGCTCTAACCACTGCCCCATACTAAGAAGAGAAGCACCATATTCTAGGACCCTGCTGTCCTGAGTTACCATGAAGCACAGTTTCATCCAGTGAAAGGAGTACTTACACAAAATTCAGTATTCTAATAATTTCCATCAATATCATACACAAGTCACTTTTTAATTTATTTATGCTATATATATTATTGATATATACATGAGAGAGCAAAAGAAAGTAAACTCTTCATCACCCGTGAAATGGGCAGAAAATCCACAACTATTTCAATAACTCTGTTGGTGATCATCTACCTAAATATGGACACCCTTTCTGAAGACTAACCAAAATGGGGGGAAACGCTGAAAAAAAAAAACTATGTGTTCTTAATGTTTTCATGAAATCTTTAAAATTATGATTTTAATTGTCACTTTTAAA